GAGAAATTAAAATGGTCGTGCCGAACTGAGTCTGGTTCTCTCAAGGTTTTTTTTCTTCACTCCCATTAGGTGAAGTTTTTTACCCTCTCCGCTGTTGCCACTGGCTCGCATGGTTCAGGATTGGTAGAGCTATGCATCGATGAATGTTCTCTTCAGTGTTTGAACTCTCAGTAATGATTAAATCACACTGAACCGAGCTAAACTGAACTGAACTGAACTTAAACACTAAAAACTGAACTACACTGTTCAAGTTACTATGACCATTTATGTGAAGCTGCTTTGACACAATCTACATTGTAAAAGCGCTATACAAATAAAGCTGAATTGAATTGAATTGAATTTACTACGAAAGGAAAAGCCTTGATTTTGTCTCCCATATGATCTGATGAAAGTACTTTTGTTTGATAGTAATGTATAGTATCTGTAAATTTTTAGTGTGTGGAATTGTTGGACAACCACCACACACACATTAAACAGCAAAATAAACATGTCTATAGCTTACTAAAAGCCTTTATGTTTGTTCATATATTTTATATAAATGCAGAGCAGCAAGACCCATGGGATTTCATCAGCCACTCACCATCAGAGTCCTCAGTGGAAGCTAAGAGCAGAAGAGGAAGCCAAGCAAGAGATGCCAGAAAAAAGGGGGAAGTTAATAATGTGTTATTTTGCTGTTTGAGTATAGGCAGGCGCAGTGGGTAGCACAATCGCCTCACAGCAAGAAGGTTGCTGGTTCGAGCCTCGGCTGGGTCAGTTGGCATTTCTGTGTGGAGTTTGCATGTTCTCCCCATGTTAGCGTGGGTTTCCTCCGGGTGCTCCCACAAGTCCAAAAATATGTGGTGACATTGGGTAAGCTAAAATTGTCCATAGTGTATGTGTGTAAATGAGTGTGTATGGATGTTTCCCAGTGATGGGTTGCAGCTGGGTGGCAACACAGGGGCACAGTAGGTAGTGCTGTTTCCTCACAGCAAGAAGGTTGCTGGTTCGAGCCTCGGCTGGGTCAGTTGGCGTTTCTGCGTGGAGTTCTCCCTGCGTTTGCGTGGGTTTCCTCCGGGTGCTCCGGTTTCCCTCACAGTCCAAAGACATGCGATACAGGTGAATTGGGTAGACTTAATTGTCCGTAGTGTATGCGTGTAAATGGATGTGTATGGATGTTTCCCAGAGATGGGTTGCAGCTGGAAGGGCATCCACTGCGTAAAACATATGCTGGATAAGTTGGTGGTTCATTCCACTGTGGCGACCCCAGATTAACTAAAGGACAAAGCCGAAGAGAAAATGAATGAGTATAGGCAATGATAGACAATATAATGTTTGATTAAGATGAAGTGTTTTAAAATGCTTATTTATTAAAATAAAGGTTAAAAAGTAAAGAAGAAATATATTGTGTGTTTGTATATTTATTTTACTGCCTTCAAGATTTTACATTGTAAACTAAAGGGAACAAGGGGGGAACAAATGTTGTATTTACCCTTTCACTACAGGTAACAAGGGAGGAACAATGCTTCACTTTAATTTACAACCCTCAAATGTGGTATTTACCCTGTAAGTACAGGGAACAAGGGGGTAACAAGGGAGGAACAATGCTTCACTTTAATTCACAACCCTCAAATGTGGTAAGTACAGGGAACAAGGGGGTAACAAGGGAGGAACAATGCTTCACTTTAATTCACAACCCTCAAATGTGGTATTTACCCTGTAAATACAGGGAACAAGGAGGGAACAAATACTGTATTCACCCTTTAACTACAGGGAACAAAGAGGGAAGAAGCTGAACTTTAACACACTAGTGTATACTTGAACACTAAGAACAGAGTAAACTACAGCAGCAGTTTTTATTGATTGAAGTCCAAATTACTACATTTTTCTATAAAGCATCAGCTATACATTTACTGAAATGCAACAGTTAGCCCCCCTGTGCAAACAGCAGTAAAGATGCGGGCCTGTTTTAATCTGCATTGAACCCTGACGGTAGGCCTATGTCATGCAAAGTTATTTGTTGATAGTGAGTGAGTTATGGAGACATTGATGGCTTTGGTGAGATCGACGAGTAAACATAAGGTAAGTAGTGTATGGAAATATATTTTCTATTGAATTGCAGATTTAAAATACATACAGTCAGGCCCGGATTGGCTAATCGGGAGGACCGGTAGAATTCCCGGTGGGCCGGTCCATTTTCGGCCGCGAGGGCCGGTGTCCCTCGCTCCAGAATCTGTTGCTCTCAGCAGTCACACGTTTTAAAATAATTTATTTATTTACTTGACCACAGTCATCTTATTCATTATTTTACTGCAGCTCTACTCTTTTTATATATAACCGGCCTGCAGGTTAATGATGATAGATGGTCTATACAGCTGGTGTGGTCCAGTGGTTAGCATGTTAGATAACGACGCCGCCGACCTGGGTTTGATCCTCGACTGTGTATGTTAAATTTTTTTTTTTTTTCATTTTTATTGTTAAGACATATAATACTTTTAGGGTTGTTGAACATTTAAAGTTCTAAAGCACCTGTTTTCTCAAAAAAAGACGGGATAGTGTAATTAGAAACTGAATTGGAAATGACCTTATTTTAATATAGTCAGTCGTGAACTGAGGTGGGCCGGTCTGAGGCTTGAAACTCCAGGGCTGAAAAAGAGTCCCACTCCGGCCCTGCATACAGTATACAATAAGGGTTCATAATTTCACAGGTTGTAAACCTTTTATTCATTAAACACCCCATATAAAACCCAAGCACTGAATAAGAGTACTAATGTACTCACGCAGGTGCATGTAAAGTACATTTGCAGATAGCAATAGGTTGTCACCATCCTTGCATAATTCTTTATATATGTATACAATACTTGAATAAAAGTACATCGTTAACGTAATATACTTACGCGGTTCTTTGCGTGATGAATATCTTATTGTTACTCCCCTATTGCGCATATATTATGGTTTGTTCTTTTGCAATTTAAAGAAAAGTACAACGTTATTTCACTGTACTTACACGGTACTTTTCATGCTGAGTATCTGGTTGTTACCCCCTTATTACCCAAGCATTACAGTTTGTTCCCTTATACTTAAGTAAACGTTAATTATACTTACACTATACGTACAGAAAAGTACACCGTTATTTCACTGTACTTACACTGTAATTTTCATGATGAACATCTGGTTGTTACCCACTTATTACCCAAGCATTACGATTTGTTCCCTTATACCTACACATACGTTCATTATACTTACACAGTATGTACAGAAAAGTACACTGTTATTTCACTGTACTTACGCGGTACTTTGCGGGTTGTAAAAGAAAGCGTTACCTGAAAATAATTTTATTATTTATTAGAATTTATTTATTTTAGTTTTTTAGCTCCGAATTCAATCTGACTCCAATTTAAATGATCCTAAAATTTAGATTATATTTCTAATTGTAAAAACGGATCACATTCATCATTTATGATTTAATTTAGAGTTTTGATATTTTCTGAGGTCCGATATTCTAAATTGTACGTTCATTAGGGACCAACATCGCTCAGAGTTCCACGCCCCAGGTTTGCGCTTCTTCTCACGGACAATATGTCGACACTCTGAAAATAGTCAGAGGATGCAGGATTAACTATATTTGAATAAGCTGGTCGCATTAATGCTTACCTAGTCTTAAAAAAAACAGATCCTTAGCCAAGCCCATACAACTTGCTACTTCTAGTGATTAAATGATTAAAAGGTCTACATGTTATAGGCTCTCTATGGCTACGTATAATCAAATGTGCGTATTAATCAATTCAATTTATGCCATACTATAAAGGTTATGAAGACTCCTCATAATCTACTGGATACAAGGAATTCGCAAAACTCCAGAATTAATCAAAACTTAACATTTTATTTGTCAGGTAAAATTGTATTCTGCCAATTACATAATAAATCATCAGGAAGCCAATTCAGAGATGAGACTGTAACAATAAAACATCCATTAATCAAAGATAAATCAAAGAGTTAGAGATGCATACCTGACCAGAGAAATATCAAGGGTCTGATATTTTGGATCCTTAAACGTGTGTTCTTGTTTTTATTAAAATTTACAAATCATCCCAACTTTTCTGGAATTGGGGTTGTAATTACACCCTACACTGACAGGCAGTTACTTTCTATATTGTATGATACCATGCTCTATTCCACTGTCTTCTTACGTAATCTCTTTTGTGCTGTCCAGTTAGATCAAAAGCAAATGTTTTTGGCCTGCTTTCCACAGCAGATATAGCAGCAGGATTTGACCCAGAGTCAAGGACAACACATTTCAAGGTCACTCCTTCTGCACTAATATATATATATATATATATATATATATATAATTTTTATTATTATTTCTTTTTCTTTTTCTTTTTAGCTTGATAAAACTACTTATTTAAAAATGAGCTGAAACAACACAATTCTTGAGATTTCATTACCACTTATTTTTTCAATGTTCAATCCACATAAATTTGTAAAGTGTTAAGTTAACTTAATTGATTTGTGTTTTGAGACAATCAATTGTGTGGAACACTCTTAAAAAAAAGGTTCCTTGAGGTTCTATATGGAACCTTGGGGTTCTATACTTGGCCAGTAGAACTTTTTACCCAAAAAATGGTTCCATTTAGAACCCTTTGACTGCAAAGAATCTTTTTGATTAAAATGGTTCTATAATTTTTGAATCATAACATAATTATGTAGTAAGGATTCTAAAATAATTATAAGTTATAACACAGAGAGACAAAGCTTTTTGAGTCAAAACCTAATAAAATGAATGCTGTGGTCAAAAACTTAATCAGTGTACATTATGATGGGATTGTTTTATGCAGGTTTGTACAATAGCATATAACTTATAGGCCTAGTTTGTCTTTAACATTTTTGACAAATTATTTTGTGAAATAAACAACCAATTTATTTAGACTGTGCAGTAACATGTTGTTATGGTTTAATAATTTATTTGAAACTAATAATCATAAAAAAGCCCTCTGGTGACGTCATTCATTGACAAGGACATCGTCATGGACCAGTGGTGAAGAGCCTCGAGAGTGAAGGTTAATTTTTCGAAAGGAGAAGTCCACTATTTCAGCTTCATCATTCAGGTATCTTAGTACATTTAATATATATAGTGAAATATTTTGTATTATGAAGTAAGGTTTCTATTTGATAGAAAATCCCTCGTGTTAAATAGTGATACAGACTGAATGGGGTTAACTTTAGCGTTAATATGGATAAACACTGTGCTTGTGATGACCTTGGTCGTCACCCTTCGGTTCAGAAATCTGTTAAGTTGAATTTGTTCTGCTTTTTATTCGAAATAAGTTACAATATCGCTATACTTGTTTGTCAGTACTACTAATTAAATTACCGATAACAGTACACAGCTGTGTTATTTGAAGGCGAGCTTCGAGAGAGCGTGAATGAAGCATGTGCATGTTATTTTAAAATTAACTAGATTTGAGCCAATTTCATCGTGTTTTTCGTGTTGTTTTTAGCTCCAACCTTGAACAAACGCTCACTTTTAGCTTGGTTCGTGTGTGTTTTATCAGTGATTGAGCTAAACTCTGCAAAGTAGTGGACATTACTGCCCGCTTTTGAGACGTTCCCGCTAGTCTGCATAAAACCGCAAGATAGCAGTGCACCGCTCGTGCCCGCACAGGCAGATTCGTGCCCGAGTCTGTGCATGCGCGGGAGGCCTGTCACGATGGCAAGTTCTCCCTATGGCCAGTCCGCCCCTGAATATTATTGAAACCTTTAAAAAGCCAAACATATTTTAACAATCCATAGATGAAAGATCAGGTCTTATTTATAAAAGACACAAAAATGCAGACTAAATGTATTGTGAAATTATATATAATATATATATATATATATATATATATATATATATATATATATATATATATATATATATATATATATATATATATAGTGCAAAATGAGTTTAAAATAAATATTTTAATGTATATTTTATTTTTCTTCAAACAGCCTGGAAACTGAACTGCATCATAAAACTTGTGCTTGGTATGTATTATTGTTTTAAATCCAAACAAAATGTATTGTGGTCAGTAAATTGAAATAAATATTATAAAAGACTTCAAGATTGTATTTATCATTACAGAAAAGTGTCATGGGACCCATATTAAGTTTCCAAATTTGATCTGCTGCACACAAGTAGCTTTGAAGAAGAAGGATCCCAGCTTAAAGAAAAACACGTCACATCCATAATTGTTTGACATCATCTTCAAGCACACCTGGTAAAGTATTTTATTTTATAACATGCATAATTCAGACTTATTGGTTGTTGTGTACTGAAAAAATATATTTATCACAAAAAATATTCTATTACTACTGCTATTTTAATACAGTGAGAATATTAAGGTTGTTGCTTAATAAAAAGTCCTGCAGAGAAGAAATATGTATTGAAAGGTGTAAATTTGCCTACAGGATTCCTTGTTGCAATGTCTTCAAAACAAATGTAAAAATGAAAGGATTTCAGTGGTAAACTCATAATGATGGGATCAAAAGGAAGTGAACTGGACTCTGAGGGACTTAACACAAGGTAAGTTCATTTCAATACATTTTATGTCAAGATTAATTCTGTGATTTAAATTTATATTTACACACTCTACAAATGCTGTCTTTCTACCTCAGATTGTGATGGACCTAGAATGCGACACCGTTTACGAATAAGTCAAGAATCAAATGAAACACTATTTTCCAGAGTACAGATTATGGAGGGGTCTGCGAAACTAATGGAGCAGTTTCTTCTTCTTGGAGTGCCACAGCTTGTAAGTAACCAAACACTGTTACATTGTGTGCCAAATAGATATGAAAAATCTGTGTATATGACATTTTAAAGCTCATTTGGTAAAGCAATGCATTAGCAATGCCAAATGTGTTCCAGGTCTCACATATTAATAAATGTATAGATTAAACACAATCTAAGTCCCTTTGGATAAAAGTAGTTGCCAAATATGATGTATGTTATTTGATATACAGTTATTTTGTTTTGTTCTTATTCTAATTTTATTGTTTTATTTAATGTTCATACTGAATTGAGGTCACTCAGAAATGTCAATTTCATTAAATTCTGTAACAAATGAGACGTAGATTAAATAGAAAATATATTACAGCTGTCTACACTGTATTTCTGTATTTTTGATGACTTTAAAGTACTTGTATTGCTGAAAATGTGTCACTTGGAAACTTACACAAAGTAAACAAAATGTTTTAATTTAGGATACTGCATATAAGGACTTCGTGAAGGACACAGAAACATCTTTAAAAGTAATGGCCCAATAGAAGAGAAGGAAAGAAGGAAGTACTCAGCATTGAAATATTGTTTTACAGAAATCCAAAGGTCCTAACAGCTCTCCTGATTGCGTCAAGACTTGAAGTGTCAGCATTACGATGGCCAACACTCGCTCACTATCCTTCTGCTCCCTCATTTATCAGAGGCACCACAGTAGAATGAATTAACAATTACTCTTCACTTTCCAGCGCAACCCAGCACTGGGAAACACCCATACACTCTCTCATACACCTGCACACATTCACTCACTGTGGCCAATTCACTAATACTGTACGCATGCCTTTGGACTGTGGGGGCAACTGGAGCACCCAGAGGAAACTCAAACAAACACTGGGAGAACTTTCAAACTTCACACAGAAACACCAACTGACCCAGTCAGGACTCGAACCAGTGACCTTCTTGCTGTGATGTGACAGTTCTAACCAGTGAGCCACTGTGCCACCCATGGACAAAACTATTTACGTTATGAGAGGCCGGCAAACATGGACATGCTACAGGTTGTGGAAAGGCTGTTCTTAGTGTTTTGTCTAATAATTTTGCAAAGTTTTGTGTGCGATTAAGCTCTTTGTTCAATAACTTTTTTGAAAATTATGTATAAAAATGGATGTTGCCCTGACCAATACATACATGTACCGTCAACTTGTTGAAATTGTAGTGTTATTTAATGGATGTTTGTGTATTGTTTCTATCTGCATTGTAATACATTTTTCATCATTTTAGAGATGTTTGAAAGTTAAGTTTTGCGTTTGTTCAATCAGTAAACAAGCTTACAAATGTTTATTATTAAGTGAAATCATTAGAATTAGATTGTTGAATGCCATTAAGCTGTTAATTATGTTTACTAACTAAATAGTAAAAATGTATAATGTTTAGAGGTAGATCTTATACAAAGTACGCAGAGGTGCAATTTTAAATATTATCTAAAACTTATTTTCTGAAGTAAATTGAATAAATTTAAACAATTTGAATTTTCTGCATTGGTTTTATTTTTTATTCAATAATAAATAACATTAATTCAATAATAAATAAAGAACCCTCAAATGGTTCTAAATAGAACCATGTAACTTAAATTCAAAGAACCATTTGGGGTTCTATTTAATGAACCCTTAAATGGTTCTATTCTTAACCTTTTTGGGGTTCCATATATGAAGCGCTTGAAAGAACCATTTGGGGTTCTATTTAATGAACCCTTAAAATGGTTCTATTTAGAACCTTTTTGGGGTTCCATATATGAAGCGCTTGATAGAACCATTTTTGGTTCTATATAGAACCGTTTCTTTTAAGAGTGAACCCTGCATTTTTTTCAGTGTGTTGTTTTGTGTTTTTCCTACTCATACTGTTCTCCTACTTGTCTTTCACGTCCTTAGGTTCTGTTCATTGGTTCATTCACCTGTCAATCATTCAATCTTTGACATCACATTGACCTCACATCCTATTGTCAAAGACCACCCCAAATAAAAAGCGCACTAGACTACTTTCCAATCCCTTCATTCGTCCCTTGTCACCCCTCTGTTGTTTATTGCGTGAATAGTTTTAACAAAATCACTTGTTGAATGCGCATTAACAATTCTGTGTGCATAAGATGTTGTTGCACATGCATTAAGTTTTGATGTTTTTGTGGTTACTTTTGTGAGCATGCAAATTTAGCCCAACTCGCTTTCTCAACATAAACTCAGTGTTACAAAATGACAGAAATCCAGACAACCGTCTGATGACCAATCACAACATTCCTTTAATAACAGATGACTGCTGTAGAAAAATATAAGACACAGGGTAAATGATTTATTTTAAAGATTAAATGTCTACCCCTCATTAGACTTTAATAATCAACTATACTTAAACTTTAATGATTGACTATTTTGTACATTGTTATGGTTTTTAGTAACTTATTATTATTGTTACTTTCTCTTCATTTCATTTCATTACTTAATACATATGTTTTACTTTTATTTATTTCTGCTCTATTTTTGGCCTTATTATTATTATTATTTTCTTTACCTTTATTTAACATCAATGTACATTGTCTTATTTTTCCATTCTTAGTAGGTACTGTACTAATGTCACCATGCATAACAATGGCATATATCCAAGTAAACTCTAAAGCAAAAAATGACAGCCAAACATAACTTATAATGCAATGCACAATATGTGCAAACCATTATACTTGCATATATGCCATTCTTATCCATATAAATAGATTGAGTTTTAGTTTTAGCTTTATTATCCTTTCGTGTGTGTATGCCTATTGTCATTAGTACACTATGTCTCAAAATAAAATTTTGTTTTTACATAATGTTAACTCATGCAACGTGTGCATACTTTTTCACAAAAGTACAAACAATTAGAAAGATTTAGAAAAAAAATAGATACCAACATAATTATAGGTAAACAGATGTCTCTGCCTTTTCTTGACCCCTAAAATTTCACCAGTTTGCCTCCTGGCTCCAGTAAAAGAGTCTTGGGCAAGAACATTTTGACAATGCTTTAAAAATATAGTCACTTGAGAGTTTAGTAGGGAATGAAAAATATTCACTTCCTCTTTCACCTACATTTCTTAGACATCATTCACATGACAGTCTGTTCCACTGTGCTGAAAATAATACTTGTCAAATGAACTTTTGCTTTATAAATCTACAAACCAGCAGACCCTGTAACCTGATGAAATACCCTATGTGAGTATTTCTGGGGATTATAGGATATTATAGCAGGAAGAATGACCATTATGTAAATTTAATAATGCAATCTCAGGAAAGTCTCGGGTTACGTATGCAACCATAGTTCCCTAATAGGATTGAGACTGTGTCCATTCAAAATGCTAAGAGAACACTTCTTTTATATGCCTTAAAGCACATTAAATTAATGTGAAATTGTGAAATCAATGAAATGTAATTGGACAATGATGTGACGACTTGTCAGACCATCAGGTATAAAAGCTGGAACTGAACATTCAGTTGTAACTTCAATCTTGCTTGAAAGAAGTAACAGGCAGGAGGAAGTATGGTGGTAGACGCAGTGTCTTGTTTCCTATCAGTTAACTAAGTTGAAATGTACCCATTCAAGGGAACTTCAACACTGCGTCCAAACAGAACGTTAGGGTCACTGCTTACTATACGAATACACACTTAGGTTATAAGAACTGGGAACCCCAGAAAGGGGGCCACATGCCGCACAAATCTACGCAAAGTAGACCAACAGTGCCACCATACAGATGTCTGAAAGGGCAGAGCCCAAAAGAGAGGCCATGGAGGCCACTATGACCCTAGTGGAATGGGTCCTTACCAGAGTGTTGCATGTTTCACAGTAACACATTACTGTACTCTAATTACAGTTTTTGTGAACGCAGTAATGTAACAAATGACATTTTAAATTCTTGTAATTTGATTAAAAGTACTTAAGTCAATGTAATTGCATTACTTTTGTTACTAATAAAGTTTTTAGAAAAAAAAATCATTTAAATTACATTTTCCACTGCAACGTCAGTTAATAAGCATGCGCTTTTAAATTGCTGGAGAACGCAAGATAAATTGCCTGCTTACCAGAGTGATTGATTCTCCAAGTGGAAATACAGACATTACTTTGAATTCATTAAGAGTTAAAACAAAAATATTGCTGTGAAATGCAGCATGTCTAGTCCCTAAAGAACCTTTAACTGCTTTTAATTTAACCAGCAACTTGTTCGAGAACTTGAACAGAAAGCATTCTATGACAGTACTCATTGCCAAGGAGGACACCTTAACAGGCTAAATTGGATTTTTGTGCAGGATCTGAAGTGAAGTTATCTTCTGACTTTGAATAGAAGCTTATCTTCTTATGGGGCTGTTCACATATCGTGCACAGCTTTCACGTGCATAAAGAAAATGGGCACTTGCAATTTCAAGGCACACCCGAATGAAAACATCTCCTCTTTTCAGCATGCCACAACCACACAGCAAGTCACGTGACAAGAACTGACCGATAAGCTTCATACTTTGTATGAAATATACACATTTCAGTAGACTTCTAGACATTTTGTGTAATCTACAGTATTTATGTTTAGACCTCACCTAGACTTCTCATGTCTCATTTTCTGCAGGATGTGCACAGCTTCAGGCATTTGGACTGAGAACACTCTTCATGCTTTTCATTGGCCATATGCTTCAGAAGCTGGTTGCACAAATTGCACTTTGGCATTTACTCAGGTAAGCTTGAGTATAGTTTGTGGAAATTACAGGCTTAATAAAGTGGATTGTATTTGATCTGGTTTTGTTGCCACACTGTAAAAAATAAAAAGTTGAGTAAACTTAAAATTCTAAAGCAACCGGCTGCAAAGAAATTTTGAGTTTACTCAACTTCAGTGGTTGAAGTTGTGTCAAATTATTTTTTTAAGTTGACTGAAATGGCTGGTTTAAGTCATGACAACTTTCAAGCCTAAGTTCATCTTGTCAGGACTCCTGGCTGATCGGCTTGTTCTATCTGTTCTGTTTGTATTAGCCACATGTTCCTTTGTTTGTGCTTCTGATTGTTTCTCTCCACCTCCTCGTTCTCATAATTTTAGTTGATTTGCTTCACCTGTCTTTGCTTATTTTCTCCTCATTAGCTCCCCTATTTATTCTCTGGGTTTCTGCTGTTCAGTGCCAGATTGTTGTTTGCTTCTGACCCTGC